ATACTTTCAAACACTTGATCAAGTTCCCCCATGGGTGCGAATTCGGGAGATAATCTATGGAAAATATGCATGTGCATCCAATCAAAGGTGCTGGACCAAAAACGAAACAAAAGACAAATTGAGGTTTGTGAAAACACATAGGGGTTCCCTACGGATGGTTTGATCCCTAGTTAGACACCAGTTTCTACGGAGGCCTATCAATCGTGTTGGGTGAAACGGGTTTATATCAACTCTTAACGGGTTCGTGTCAAAAAATATTTCGTTCATACCCGATTCATTTATTATTAATTCATGTTTAACGAATCGTGTCATTTCTAATTCGTATCTTGTATCAATCATGTATAACTAGTATATAAACGAGTTATATTGTGTATTTCTTTTTATTTGCTTCAGGGGGCAAAGCGCCACGAAGAAGTCACACGATGTCCAATTTTTCACTGGTGCCAACCACAAGGAGGGATACTATCTATTGCTATACGGAACTGATCTTGCAACCAAAAAGACATAGAATTACACAAAGGAAAAAACGACAAATTGTTTAAGCTGAAGCCAAAAAGTAAGAAAGAAGGCAAATAAACCAAACAACAACAGCAATGACACTCAAAATTTATTAAAAAAAAAAACATTTGATGGATAAAAAGAGCAGATTCCCAACAATGAGAATAAAAAAAACTTTAGGGAAATGAACAATACCTTGAGCATAGACACCTCTCAGCCATGGCAGCACAAAAGCAAAGTGATCTTGAGCTCAAAAAATAGACAATATCTGCAAGGCTGAAAGAGTAACTATATTAGCAAGATGGGGAAAGTTGGATCAGTCAAAAGAACAAACAGTACATGGACAACCAAGATGTTCTCGCCATACCCTTTCCATCACAAGGTCATGTAATTCCATTGATGGAGCTCGCATTACACTTGTAGTCTATCACGTTTCACATTTGTGAATACCGAGTTGAATCACAAGCAGGCAGGTCTTGAAAGCAATGTCGGAGTGAGACGGTGTACCTGATCTGGTTTCACTCCCGGACGGAGTAGCGGAGGGTAGAAATGGTTTGGGCAAATTGACAGAATTAATCTTTCAAGTCATTCCTAGAAAGCTACAAGACCTCATAGAAAATGATCAAATCACTTGTGTTATTGCTGATGGGAGTGTGGGATGGGCCTTGAATGTGGCGAAGAAGATGAGAATTGGACTCTTTGCAGGGCAGTAGCCGCCATGTTCGCCTTGGCAAGCAGCATTCCAAAGCTAATTGATAATGGAATCATAAACGAAGATGGTGAGGCATTCTGACACTAAAGTTATTTCTTAACTTAATCTTCGTTGCCATAACCAATAATTACAAAATGATCAATCTATAGAAGAATTTATGGCCATGAATCAAAGAAAGTTTAGATCAATTTGATCTGCAAATTAGTCAACTCGATAGACCCCAATTTCATCAATTTAGTCAAATTAAGTTCAATCGTCGGGCTGAGACCGATTTCATCAACTTAATAAACGAGTTATAATAGATTGGATCATAACGTGTTGGTTTAAACCTATTAATTCATAAAATAATTAATACACTAAAAATACACACACATATATTAATACACAAAAAACACAAATACATTTATTTTATTATTTGTGTCATGGGTTGTAGGTCAGCTCGGATCATATGTGGATGGCATACTTTTTATCTGGATTAAAAAAAAAATTAGTCGAAATACATGTAAGCTAACGAGAAAATATTCATTATAACGGTGATACCACGTGACAATGTGATGTGGTATTACCAATCAATAATACTAAAATAAATAAGCAAATGGATCCCACAAAAAATAATAACTAACATGTTATGTAAATAAATAACTCACCACCCTTCTGTCACGTATGTCCAAATGGGGTTTACTTTGCCCATTTACAATTTTATTATTAATTGATGATACCATGTCATTAATAGTGACATAATATCACTGTTACGTTCAATATTTACTTGTAAATTGACTCTGACGCCCCAAATTATTGAACAAAAAAAAATTAACTTTCCACTATAACCACGAGCGACGCCACCAAGCAAGGGAGAGATGATTGTGCATGCCTAGATTTAGGTGACACTGTCCAGGTTTGTCTAACGTTTGATAAGAATAATAGAAAATAAAAGGGATATATTTTCTATTTTTTAAGAAAAGAATGTAGGAATGATGAAAAATAAGAGAAATATACTTTCTATTTTTTAAGAAAAGAAAGTAAAAATGATACACTTTCTTTCTATTGTGTTTGGTTGGATGGATAAAAAATAAAAATGACTAATTTTTTTTTTTGTGTTTGGTAAGATGAAAAAATATTTTTTTAATTTTTATTTTTAAATTTTATTTAAAAAAGTGTAAATAATATTTTACCATATTATTTATGTATGAAATTAATATATATATATAATTGATAAATATAATATATCTATATATTAAAGGATATATAGAGAAATAAAATACATTTCAACACAAATAATTAATTTTTCAATATTTTCATTCACGTTCTTTCTAATTTTAGACGGATTGATTTTTGTGACTTGAAAGGAAAGTTCATTCATCAACTTTTTCATCTTTCCTATTTTTCTTCCTTATTAAATATAATATTTTATCTATCCCTCAAACTTTTCATACTTCCATTTTTTCATCGTATCAAGCATAAAGAAGAAAATTTAATTTTTGACATGATACAAATTTAAGGAATTAAGGTTCATTAGTTCTGAATATAAAAAATACAACCTATGTTATCATAGATAATTAAAAATTAAATTAATATCAAACACAAATAATTTAATGTTAACATGATAGATTTATTTACAGAGAATTAACATATCAAATTTTATATTTTTTTTGTATGATATTGAATGAATAAGCTTTTTTTTTTTTAAACTTATTTTTGTCTGCATTTAGACCCAATGGATTTTCAATTTATGAATGATTAACTTAATTGAGTTAAAAATAGCTCTAGTTTTGAATTGTTTATTCATATCTTATGAATACCCACTTAAAAACAATACGATTGATTAAAGAATGATTTTAATGGTGCTCGAATTCGATTAGACTGCACAACAAACTTGGGTGGAGTCCAATGTGTGTATGTGTGTGCGCGTGGGAGAACGTGAATGTGTAGGTTATATATATGATATAAGAAGAAGACAATGATATAAGTGGTTCGTCTTATCCGAAAGGTTAAGGTTACGTCTACTATAAAGAAGACTTTTGCTCCTTAAAAATTGTAATACTTGAAAAAGAAGATTGTTGTTACAGGATATTTGGCTTGAAGCTTTTTACAGTATATTATTTTGGTTGTACTTGATGGTTTGCTAAATGGCTCTCTCGTGCACTGTAACCATATTGGCTATTTATAAAACTGGTAATTAGGGTTTCATATTTATCCTTTTCAGTTGATTCTATTGTCTCTTCTGCATTTGACATTGTCCTGGAGTTGTGGTCCACAAAGTCTTTCCATGGCCACTACTTGATCCATTTCCATTATTTGTGGGTTTTTGTTCATTAGAGTCGTCAGGTAATGTTCTCTTATCTCCTGTTCATGTGTCATGCTGCAGCTTTTGTAGATTGGCCCTATATCATGCTCTCATCTACCGAGCTGATAGATGTACCGAGTTTGCTAATATCAAACTTCTGTGGGATTGGGTCGTAACCCAGTTCTAGTCCAAGGAATATTGTTTGAATGAACTACTTGGGTTGTTTTGTGCAAGCTCGGAGGGTATTGGGCTATAAAGGACCCCAGACTTAAATCAATTATTATCAGACTTAAATTGTTGACATATTTAACTATAATTATTAGATTAATCGTGAAAATCAAATATTATAACTTGATGTTAATCGAACAATTATAATAAAAATTTATTATTATATTGACTAATTAAGTCAGATTTTTAAATTTTAATAACATTACACTTAATTAAATATATTGACTAAAATTTTGGTAATTAATCAAATTACAATTGAGTAACAATTTAAATCATCTAAACACAAAGTAGCTTGTCATCCACATCTCGACGTATCAATTTGTGGCATGTTTTGATGGATTTAGAATGGGGACATTAGATTATTTTTAGTGAACTCTTCCAAACTCAAATTCCCTTTTTGTACATGTGATTCATACATAAATCTTATTCAATATTTTGTTTGGTAAATAGCATAAATACATATAGAACTCATAAATTAATCATAATTATAATCAAATATTTGCCATGTAATTGACTAAATTATCCGGTCTAATCTTTTTTAGTATGATAGACTAGGGATAGAAATATTTTTTACCGTTAAATCTTAGATTGGTTGATTTTAAACTCACCCTAGTGGGTTTGTTCAAACCCATATTCAAGAGATTAACCTTTTGGACAAGTTACTGACTGAAATCTGAATCTCATGTTTAAAAACCTTAATTAAACATGAAATTCATTAATCTATTAAACTATTTTACTTCAACCCACCCTTTTAATCCCTTACATACCTTCCCAAACCCATTAAACAATCATTCCCTCGGTGTGAGAGTGTGGATTTGGATTTCTTTTCAAGAAAACACTTCTATAATTGGACAGATAAGAGAAATCATGTCAGAAAAGATATAAAATATACCCCGGGGTGGTGAGAAAGAAGGTGATAAATTCATTCAAACAACTTAGAATAATTTCAGGCATTCTCTCCAAACCAAGAAAAGAAACATATATATAATGAACAAAATCTTAAGCCACAATGCATTTCCTGAATTTCAACTCGAAAATCAAGACAAATCGAAAAACACCTGATCTTATTCCGATCTCGATATCATACGCACTAAGATTGTTCGAATACCCCCAAAAAAAAATGCTTGGGATTAATTAATAATGCTGTTAGTTTGCGAAGAAAATGATATTCAAAAACTACTTGAATTGTAACAATTACCCGTACAATACAGTGCACAAAAATTAACTAGCAAAAAGGAAAAAAAATAAAAGAACATCCTTGGTTTTTCCGATGATGCACTATACAGGGTTTTGAATCTCATGACTAGACCCATAAAAATCAACCAATTTCTGCAAAACAGAAACTTGGGTTCGTAGAAGAACAATGTAGTCGGCAGTTTCTTCAAACAGCTTGTCGGCTTTCATATCCCCACTCTGGTTATAAGAGGGTATCAGGTTCTTAAGAACCTCCAACTTGTCTGCAAGTGAAGAACACGGCTCTGGTCCGCCATTGACGACCCTTCTCGAGCTCTTTTGAGGTCTGCAAAATCTTCTGCGAGAGTTTGGCCTCCTCTTCGTTCTCCTCACGCCCGTCTTCATGGGACTCATTGGCTTCGACCCCATGGCGATATAGGGGAGAAGAGAGAAAACGGAAATGTGAGAGAGAGAGAGAGCTGTAGTTTGGTGTGAGCTGTAACGGGTGAAAGTGAACGATTTTGGGGGGCTTAAGTAAGGGAGTTCTAGAATGTTGCCACTTGTTTCCTATGAAACTACAGAAATGCCATTTATTTTATTTAAATTTTATTTTTCTTACCATTTTTTACTCTCTTTTTTCCTAAAAAAGGGTTGCTTCAAGTAGAGCTGTTAATATATGGATTTAGTATTAATGTGTTTTATTTGTAAATTAAATGAAGTAAATTCTGTTATATATGTGTTATACATAATATAAACTGACATCCAATCTCGTGCGATGCACCGAACACTCATTTCTCCTTCCAATACTCTCTCACACAGTCACAGTTACCATTACAGTTACAATCATTATTTTAAGGTTGTAAAAATATTGCAGGAATTATTGGGCGGGAGAGAAGGCTTTTCAATCCCTCTCACCCAAAAACTGTTGTTTTATATAAATAAATAAATTTGGAATGATATAAACTCGTTTATACGCAACAATAAATGAATTAAGTAAGTTGAATAATTTTTTACACACAACCAACTATAATGACACTGATGCCAACCAACTAGAAAGAAGCTCATTTTGGTATTTTTTTATTATCAAGTATTGAATCTCTTACTCATCTCTCTCAACGAGATTTTAACAGTATTCGATGATATTTTAGGATGGATAGAAATCGATTGAACAAGAATAATCATTCCAACCGTAAGAAAGGTGATGATTAATAACCAAAAAGACTGAGCTAAGAGAGGTTGTATGAGTCATTGAAACGACACTAAGAGAGCTCTAATCTATCAATAGAGGGAGTTATAATGATAGATCATTCCTAATGTATTTAGTTAGAATCTATTATATATAAACCCAAAAAAAACCACACATAGTAATTATCTACACTAACACACAATGGATTTGATTCTTAAAATATATATGTTTTGTCAGTTTGTTTTTCATTGTATTAATTTTATCAATTGGTCTTTAAAATATTAAATTCATGTGTAAATCATCCCAAATAATCCACTAAATTTTTGACAAAAAAGTGATCACATGTTGATTAAGTGATACCATCTGAAAGAATAACATGTGATCACTTTCATCAAAAAATTTAATAGACTATTTTATTAAGTGAGGATATTGTAAACCATCAACGGGTCTTTGGTTTAATAGTACTCCTTCTCTTGTGAAGATTTTGTCTTGTCTTGTATTCTTAAGGTCAAGAGTTCAAGTCTCTCATCCCCATCCCAAAAAAAGGTTATTTTAAACACAAATTAAATAATATAGATAATAAATTGATAAAATTAATAAAATAAAAATTAGACTGACAAAAATATTATAATCTCTAAAAAAAAACTTATGTAGAGGGGTTTTTTTTTTTTTTTTTTGTCATGTACCATGATTGCTACGGTAAATCTAATTCAGAAAACGACACAAATGTTTTTGGTATCTCACTTTTGAAGAATTATAGCGGGAAGATAGATGGCACAACACAACTTGCAAGCCCCACACCCACAAAGATTTATCAGAGAAAGCCTGGCTCATCTGCACCACCGCACATGTGAAAAAGTACGGGGTTGCCTCACTTGTTTTTTTTCCCAAAATGCCCCCCTCCCCCAATTCCATTTTCAAGATATAATATAATTTGTTTTTTTTTCTAACAGTTTTATTATTCTAAATATTAGACCTGCCCCCCTCCAAAAATGAAACATGTTAGACTTTCGAATATCCATTTCTTCGGTCCAATTATGGTATTTTTTTGATATTAGAGTAAATGACATATATGACCCTCAAATTATAACTCTTATGTCAATTAAGTAGTTAAACTTTTTTTTTTGTGTCAATTGAATTCTTAACTCTCTCTAATTGTGTCAATTAAGTTATTTTGTCTGTCTCCGTTAGATTTTCTAACCAAAATTACGAAATGTGTCACTCTCGTGACACAAATGAGTTAGAGTAAACTATACAAATAATCTTTAAACTATGATCATTCTATCAATTAAGCCCCTGCGTTTTTTCTTTTTTATGTCAATTGAACCCTAGAACTCTCTAATTGTGTCAATTGAGTCATTGTATCTTTTTGTGTCATATGGTCAAATTAGTGGCATACTCTAATAGAAGCAGAGAGTTTTGGGACTTAATTGACACAAAAATCATAAATTGAAAGTCATCTTTATTCTTGATGTTATACTAAAAAAATAATATGTAACTCTATTTTTTTAATTCAAATTTTATTTGGGTTTACATTACTCTAACTATTGCAATTACAGAGTCTCATTTACAAGATTTTTGCTTCTCTGAATGCTCAATTATGTGTTATAAAAATTAAAAAAAAATCAATTTTATTCAACCGTATTCCCTGATTAATACAAGATGGCTAATTTAATACTAACCCATGTTACATGTTTCAACACCATTCAATACTCAAATCATAACGGTCTTTCTATGTCGAAGTTTAGTACAATCTGATATTGACTACCAGCTTGATATAGCAGAACACAACCATATGTAACTTAGACGGCAATGGGCTGCCTACTTCAATTGTAGACATGGTTGATGATACCTGTCCCCAAGTATGATTACATGTTAATGCAGTAAACATATAATAGTGGCAATCATAAATTTCACCCACATAACAAAATTAGCAATCACATTGGTTGCCAAAATATATCCTTCAACTCATGAATTAAGAATTCTCACAAGTCGTTAACATGAGCAAATGAAGACAAACACAGCACCCTCGCACGAAACGAAACCCTACCGGATGGGTATTCACCCCATAATACACACATGAATCTGACACGATAAAATTGTTAAAAATTAATTATAAATTAAATGAATTTTGATATAACATATATGATAATTAAATATCAAAATTTTGTTTCGGTACATAGTTTTAGCGAGCTTGAAAACAGAAATATTTAGGTAATGTTTCGACTACTTTTCAAAAATAAGACAGAAACAAAAAAAAATTTAAAAATATATTTTTGTTATATTGGTTGCAATATAGATTAAAACATGCTAAAACACCTTGAAACCTATCGATCACCACGAAATATAAAAATTTTGATATTCAACCAACAATTTATTTTAATTTTTATAAAAACGGAAACGTTTCGGACATCTCGAAACAAAGTTTAGTGCCTTCATGATAATATACCTATTTATTATCAACCCTAATAAAAATTGTGAGGCAACTTATACTAAGAAAGAAATAGTAGTTTAGTTATATCAGGAAAGCTAAAGGGCAAGAAAGTCAATTAGGTGAAAAGCGTAGGTGGGTGAGGCGAGAGGAGGGGGGGGGTGGCCTCCCCCAAAGGGCGCATGTGAACATGGCACGGACCAGCAAGGCGTCAATGGAAGTGAGATAGAAGAGATTAGAGAGAGGGGTGCGTAGTGCGCAAAGGGAATGCACATGGGGAAGCACATGCTAAGCGAACGAGAGAGAGAGAGAGAGAGGGGGGTTTGCATGTGACAAAGGTGAGACAGTGAAGCAGCATGAATTGTACACCATGTTCTGCACATTCCCTGCATCATGGTACTACTGCCACTGGCAGCTCATTTCCCTCCAAACTCCCCTTAATCATGGGTTTCAATTTTATTAATTAAGGATTAAAAAATAATTATTAATTAAGAATAAGGAATTGTAGAATTCATAAAACTAGCTCATTGAAAATTTTTAAAAAAATATACTTAATTAATAAAAATAAAATAAATTATTATTAAATACTAATAATCAAATTTATTGGTGTCACTTTTATTTTTTCATTTCTTGATCTCTTATTCTATGACACAAGTTAAAATAATGTAATTCAAAATATCTATATAACAAATACATAGTCCTATTTACACAAAGCACAATAATATCTCTGATTGTTTAAATACGATGATTAATATTGTTATTTATATTTTTTGTCGTTTAACTACAATAATTTAGTTTATTTATATTTAACATTTTAACCGTGAAAAAAAAAAATAGAGGCACCCTAATAAGGTGCTTGGTATTGAATGTCTGAGAATTTCGCATTGAATAAAAAGCTAAATTAAAGTGTCATAATATATTGGTGATTGACTCATTACCTATAGATTTAAGTTTTTATGTGAGTATAAGTTTCAGTATATTAGAGACCGACAAATAGGGGCAAAGATCAGCATTCTTGCAATTAAGAAGAACATATAGTCACTTTTCTGATATTGTTTGACGAGAAATAGGTGAAGCGGTATTCATATAAAAAAAACTTATATTTTAATTTTTTAATCCAAAAATTTAATCTATTTATATTTAATCTTTTAACCACAATAAAAAAAACACGAGAAAATAATCGACTTTGGGACACCCTAGTAAACACAATACAATAGAATTAACACTCATGCGAAAAAATATTCAATATAATAGGTGATACTATATTAATATATATGAAATAAGAATGAGTAATTATTAATTTACTAGTTATTGCCTGTGTTTGAAGGGACAGAGTAATAAAAAATAATAAATAATAAATATATTTGTATTCATATCTAAAATCAAATCACAAATATAGAGGAGAGATAAATGAATATAAGCATCAATTGTAATGGGGGGTGAGAGGTGGTGGTAGGAGACGGTGGTGGTGGTGACGACGATAGCAATGATGATGGCAATGGCGATGGCGACAATGGCGGTGGTGATGGTGATGGTGGCGGTGGCGACCATAGTGGTGGTGAGGGGCGGCAGTGGGGGTGACAGTGGTGGTGGTGGCGGTAGCGGCGGACGACAGTGGTGATGACGATAATAGTGGTAAAGGTAGTGGGGAGACAGTTTCAAATACTATTTTTTTTAATGTACTTATAAGAAATAATTCTTAGAAACACTTTTAAAAAGTTATTTTAAACACACCTTTAGGGGCCTGTTTTTCTTTTTAGATTTATGGTGTTAATATTAGTCGTTAAATTAACTTTAAAATAAAATTTAAAA